CCGAACACGTGTACAACTATGGGAAAGCCATCCCTTTCAAGAAACTCAGCTTCAAACATCTTTCAATAATTATATACACAATTTTAAATCAGATTCAAACATGAATATAAACAAATATAATTTAATAAAAAAATACAAACTATAAGGTTGAGATATAATGTGTGGTATCACGAGGAAAGATTAATAAGAAGATCCAATAGGTAATAAATACAAATTAACACAGATAAACAAAATCATCAATTAACCTTCCAATTAATTAGCACTAACCCTTTCTCCACAAAATAATATGCCTGCATACTGACAAATTCCCATTCCACATCACCTCTGTAAACATTCTCCCACCTATTTCTAGCCAAGGATACAACCTTCTACATTCTTCCACAACCCACACACGAACCCAATTGACTACACTCCTGCCAACTTCGAATTTACCGAACACATGCATACAATCCTAACCCTCCACAAACGATCGTTCAAATCTTGCTGTCAGTCCAACCGCCTACACCACATCTGAACATTCTCTAACGTTCCGATCTAACCACTTTAACCTCATACCACAATCCAACGACAATACCCAGCCATCTCACGACAGTTTGAGACAATATAACCTTTATTACTCTTTACACACCCTTTACACTCCACCCGAGACAATCGCGAAATGCTATACTGCTGCGTGTTTCAGCCAACCTTATCCCTAGGGTTCACAAACGCACCAAATGTATAGCTTCCAAGTTACAGAATATAACATACAGCTCTTTCAAAACATATAATAAACGTTTTACATGAAAGAAGCTCAATTAACCAATACAATGTATGCAACTTTCAATCTATTCAAGACCTTTATGAAAATAGCCTTACTTGGCCTTTACAATATAGACTGATTTGACCCGCTCCCCCCCCACAAAAACCTCGATTCCAATCGAGTAACTAAGCGAGAGTCGGGCGTGGCGCGTGCCCGAATCTAAGTTACAATGTCGGCGCCATCATCTGTTGTTTCCGTTCCGTGTGCAAACCTTATTCAGCAAACTTCGAATCACATTCAGCAGACTTGCCAATCTATTACACTGCTTTACGAAACGACTCAAGTTCAAATCAATTCATTTAAAAGTTGAACCCGGTGTCGCGCTACACTATCTTGCCGAGCTGCGAAATATCCCTGACGACCTAGCCCCGCCCTCCCCGACCCCGACCGAATGACAGCTTCGTCTTTGTGTTACGGATAGCCGATTGTGCCACACTAATCTGCACACTAATCTGCACACTAATAAGGAGGAGGCGGCGAGAACGGGAGAAGAAGGGGGGGAGGCAGGAGGGAGGTAGACGGCTGGTGGAGCGAGGAGCGCAGGCGGGCAGAAGACTGGTGGGAAGAAGGGAGGTGAGAGGGGGAGTCAAGGGAGACAGCTGGTGGAGGCAGAGAGGGGGAGAAGGAGAAGCTGGTGGCGAGGAAGGAGAGGGGCGAGAAGGAGAGAGGTGGTGTGAGAAGGAGGAGGGGGCAGGCAAAGCTGGTGCGGAGCAAGAGTGAGGGAGAAGGGCAGAAAGCTGGGTGAGACAGAATAGAGGGGGAGAACGCTGGTGAGAGGAGGGGGAGAAGGGGAGCAAGCTCCGGGGCAGCGAGAAGGAGGAGGGGAGAAGCTGGTGGGAGAAGGAGGGGCGGAGAATGGCGAGAAGGAGAGAACGGGTGAGCAAGCTGTGAGCAAGGGGAGGGGGAGAAGCGGACAGAAGGAGGAGGTGAGAAGGCTGCGTGGAGGAAGGAGGCGGGGAGAAGGTGGAAGCTGCGCAGGGAGAAGGCAGAGTGCAGTGCAGAGAAGGAGGAGGGGAGAGAAGAAGAGAACGCGTAGGTGCGAGAAGAGGAGGGTAGAGAAGAGAGAAAGGTGGATGGAGAAGGAGGAGGGAGAAAGCTGGTTGCAGAGAGAGCGAGGAGGGGGAGAAGGAGAACATCCGGTCGTCGGTCTCGAATTATGGCTTAAGCACAGCGAAGAGAACGGAGGAGAAGACACGACATAATTCGCTTGAGGGGGCCTGGAGAGCTAGGCCGATGGATAAGAAAGGAGAGAAAGTGATGTATTGTGGGTAGGAGGGAGTGCGGTAGCCTGGAGCAGGATAACCGGAGCAAGAGCCAGAAGCCTGTGGTTGAGGAGGAGCCAGACAACCCCGTCTGCGGGACTTGGTGGGGTGCCAAGACGCACGACGGGCAAGTTAAAATCAGGCACTTACGCGCGGCAGAACGACGCAACGGCATTGCTTAACGCCCGCTGACTCATGGGCCTTCACCCAACGCAGCCCCAGCAAGAGCGCCTTGGCGTCGAGGTAGCTATGCAAGTGGGACCCCCCCCGGATGCGCGCCCGCATTAGGCTCGAAGCAGAGCGCGGAGACTCTGCAGAGCAGCCCGCCATAACACCGCCAGAACTGCTCGGCGATCTAGACTGGAAAGCAGCCGACCGCGTCGCGCGCAGCAGCACAGACACAGAGACATGGCCCCACCCCACAGGCGCCCCCGAACGCACCCAGGCTCACAGCTGGTGGCCCTTTGATGTCAGCGAGCGGATGTAAAAATGTGAGAAGCATGCACTCGCGATCGGGAACAGCGAGCCCAGCTCGACAGGCGGCCCCCGGAGAAGGGGAGAATACCCAGCTACACCTGCCCCGCCCAGCTGCGCCCGCGCGCCGTGGAGAGAAGGCGACGGATGCGCACGCAGGACCAGCTCCGCCCGTGGCCACGCACGAGAACGATCCTACGTGCACCGCTCAAATGCTTCAGAGCAGGCAAAATGGGGAGGACGCTGACTAAAGAAGCAACGTGAATCTATGCTGTGGCGAGAAACTTCTGCTGATTTATGGGAATTTTTTCGTAAGTATTATCGCCTATGGAAAATGATTTCCAGGCGTGAACCCTGCAGTAGTGCCTCGCTAATACTCGGACTGCGCTCGCAGCAAATCATGACATGATGATTCAGCTTATAGTCAGCAGCGGCAGCAGCGGCCACTCTCGATGATTTCCATCAGCATTTTGACATGTTACGCACACTCGTATGACTGATGCTGCAGCAGCAGCAGTTGTAGGAGCGGCAGCAGCAGCAGCAGCAGTTGTAGGAGCGGCAGCAGTAGCCGCAGCAGCAGCAGCAGCAGTTGTGGAATCAGCAGCAGCAGCAGTTGTAGGAGCAGCAGCCACAGCAGCAGCAGCAGCAGCAACACGCCCACGTGACCACCGCTGCCAACAACAACAACAACAACAACAACAACAACAACAACAACAACAACAACAGCAGCAGCAGCAGCAGCAGCAGCAGCAACAGTAGTAGTAGCAGCAGCAGCATCCGCCTGCCAGCCACCCTTATTGCCTGCCTACGAGCATCCGTACATGCCTGCCTGCCTGCCTACTAGCGTACATGCCTGCTGTAAAACGCAGGCAGCTACACAAGGGAATACCGCTGGACGCCATGCTAACCATAATCGATACAGGCAGACAGAAGCATGTGCCGGAAACCCATAGACCTGTGCACGCATCGTGTGTGCGTGCGTGCGTGCGTGCGTGCGTACGTGCGTGTGTGTGTGTGCGCGCGTGTGCATGTGTGTGCGTGTGTGTGTGTGTGTGCGTGCGTGTACGCGCGTGTGTGCGTGCGTGCGTGTGCATTGTCACTCAGGCCCTAGCTATCACGTTGTGCTACGTTGAAGTGTAAGCTGTTCACACTCGTTGTACGGTGAGCACCTGTGATTCTCACCAGAGACAATTATTTCCATAGCTCCGCAAAACGGTAGCGCTGATGCTGATGGTTATCACGAATAAAACGCCCTGATACCCTCGCCTCACCCATGCAAGATTACCAAGCAATGATGTAGCGTACGTATTATCAGGAGGTAGATAATGACGAATACTCCTGGTATTATC